GTTTACTAGGCAGGACCAGATATCTATGGCAACGTATTTGTATATCCTGTGCCTTCTCTATTGCAATGCACGTTGCTTAGGCTACTGGCATTAAAACATCTAACAAAATATGCTCTTTACTCTGGAGTTTATGATCTGTCCCAGGTCCATGTAATTGCACATTTCCCCTCCCAGTTCAGATCAGACCCATTGACTGGCCCTGCACAAAGTATGGTCCAGAGCATGTTGTTATTAATCTCATTTTGCAGCTTATTTGCTGTATGATACTTTCTTACCACTAGGCATTTGTTGCTAGCTGGGGTGCCCGAGAACCTATCTCCCCCTTGCAGTTTGACCCATGGGAGCTGGAGTGCTCTTAAATACATCTATGCATTGACTGAGTTGGTGACCACTGGTGCTATCAGAGCCCAGAACATTCTTCCCTGATGGTCTGTTCCTGAAGTGTGGCAGCACAGATCTTTAGTGACTGGGGCTTTTATTTGGACTACCTGTGGGGTTTTGTGGGGATTGGTTGATTTTTTGCTTGGTTGGTTTTTGTTTGTTTGTTTATTTTTGTTGGGTTTTTGTTTGTTTGTGAGTTTTTGTTGTTGTTGCCTGGTTTGGGTTTTTATTATTATTATTTTTCTTTTATTTTAAATACAAGGATCAAACTTTCAGGAATACAGCCTCAGAACAGTACACCAGAGTTGCTGAATTGCCCCAGGGGAGAAGGACCTCCCCATGGCTCTAGTCTTCATCTGGCCATATGAAAAAGGATATTGAGGCTATTTCACAGAATGGTTGAGGTTGGCAGGGACTTCTTGAAATCATCCAGTCCATCCCTCCTACTCAAGCAGGGTCAGCTAGAGCAGTTTGCCCAGGCCTATGTCCAGCTGGGTTTTCAGTATCTCTGAAGATGCAGACTTCCTGGTTTCTGTGGGTAACCTGTGCCAGTGTTAGACCACCACCACTGTAAAAGAGTGTTTCCAAGCAGAGCCTTTCTTAGCATGATGCTCAGGAGATCTCTGTGGGCTAAATCTTTTTGTCTCTTCTTCTGCACCCCAAGGCAGAAGGCATCTGTGACAGCTCTGATTCTTTGAGTGTTTTAATACAAAAATGGTCCACCCCTGTGGGAATGATTCTTGCACTTCAGACCAGCTTAGAGCAGTACTTGCTGCCTGGCTTATGCTGCTCAGTTGCTTTGGGCTCCTGTGACCCCAGAGGCACTGTGTGGCAGCTTCAGGATCATAACAAATCTCAGACCTGTTTGTTCTGTTTTGTAAGAGAGCACTGCAAGAAAATGGTGCTAGATTTCCCCCTGCAAAGCAGATAGCACAGATAATATGAAGAGTATTTATTTTGTTTCTCTGTGCACTGTCTTTCTCTGCTGGAGAGCATCACTGTCCTACAGACAGGCATTTCATCAATTTTCCTCTTCTTTTAATGCTAAATTGGTATCCAAGGGGGTTTGTACAAGTGTATCTTTAAGGAATCATTTCTCCTTTTACAGCTGTAACTAATGCACTAAGAGGATCCCATCAGGAGTTCAGTTTAAAGAGTTTTGCCTTCAGAAGGTTTGCAGTGAAGAATCTGGGTTGATCTTCAGCTTTCTGGGTTACATGCTCAGAGAACACTTCTACCTGCAGTAACTGGTAGTTGACAAGAGTTCACGTAGGAAGGGGGTGCACTGAGCTTTGTTACAACTGTTTCAAGATTTCAGCGAGTGGATGCCGACAACCAGTCCATCTGTTGGTAAAAACACAGAACTGCCACTTCAGCTGTTGCAGAGTTGGCTGCAGTTACTCGCTGTAGTGCTGCACAACTAGGGTGTGCCTTGGCCTCAGGAGAAGACGACCTTTGCTTTTCCTTGTCTGATCACCTCGAGGGTATTCCTGTGATAATTTTGTTACTGGCTGCTCTGAGGGCTTTTGCTCATCAGGCTAAGCAGGGATGGACCTGGCAGCAATGTATGTGGCATGACTTCCCTGGATTTCACCCTGATAGGTGTGGTAGGAAATGAGGGTCAGGCAGGCTGTGCTGCAGGTCGGTCTCTGCTGACTGCCTGGAGCAACGCTGGGTGCAAGGGTGTCTCTTCTCCCTTGCCTTTACACCCACTGCAGCGAGTGGTTTGGCTGGTACAAGCTCATTAAAAAAACACCCCACAGCCCTAATCACAGGAGTGACCTGAGCATCCAGACCTGCTCCCTGTGATTTCCATTAGCAACCATCCTCCAAATGGTCTTGCGGTTAAATCAGCCGCTGAGCCTCTAGAAAGTGATTTGATGAAAGCATTTTACAGCAATCGAATGAAATGTCAGTTGGATGCCAGCAGCAGGGGTTGCTGTCATGATTAATGAGATATTTAGGCATTTCATTTTGGAGGAGCTACCTGCAACACAATTCACATCGAAGCTGGGTTTTTTAGATGGGCTTTAATAAATTAACATTAATGTTAGTTATTTATTTATTCGTTACAACTGCAGGGTTGCGTTTGGGTCGGACACATTATGAAGCCTTTCAGAAAGCTCATATGCAGAAAAGAGCATTTTATGTTCAGAGCTTTCCACATTACTTTTCTGATATAAAACAATGTGAAAGAGGAGGAATAGTAGAAATGACCTGTGATTTGTTGAATGCAGAGACTGCTTGAATATAAAGCTTTGGAAGCTGGTATTAAATGGGCATGCATCCAAATAACGGGACATATCTTACCTCTAGTAATGAAATCTAATAAATGGAATTTAACATCTTATCTCTCTGTTGTCTTGGGGCCTCTATTTATAAGGGAACAGGAATAATAAAGGTGTTACAGGGACAGGGAGAAATGGCATTAAATCTTTTCAAACCTCTTTTAACTGCCAGCTGAAAGTTTTACCATGTGCCCCCCAACCCTGTGTATGATTAAAGCTGAGTTTATTTCTGCTTAAAATCCAGCTCTTGCATTAAGCAGGCTCTGCTGCTCCTCCTGCCCATCTTTCAGGGAAGTCTGAGGCAGCTGCTAGTGAGGCAAGGACTGCTTTTGGACTGGGCAGGGTGAAGCCAAGGGGTTTCACTGAAGGACAGGGACCCAAAGGCACCTCCTTGCCCAAGGACAGAAACATAGCATTACAATTTCTGCTCTTAAAAAATGGACCACAGTCAATCCATTACGTGCTCCAAGCCGCTGTCTTCTGAAAATTGACTGCAGCAGACTAGCATATTGTGTTTTCTGCCCTCAGCACTGCAAGGATGAATATCTGGAGCAGGGCAGATTCAAAGATGGCAAGGCAACAGGAGCAACTGAGAGTTAGTTGTTTAACTGGAGGGCAGCCCAGTGCTCTCCTAGGCATGATGCTGGCAAGCATCAGGAGCTCTAGCATCATCAGTAGCAAGCAGACATGTAAAGGGCCAGAGAAAACTTTGCAATATGATGGACAAAAATAAAGTTTTGGAGCTGAAATGTTGACAGCTTTTCTAGAAAACAGAAGTGCTAATGGTAACACAGCTTTCCGTTAAGCCCAGTGCATTGAACAAATGAGCAGCTGGCTGGTTTTTGTCTCTGAGCATTAAGCCACAGAGCAGGATGTGGATTTTTTACATTGCTGAGGCGACACAGAGACTAAGTGGAATACAAATAAAATGAGCTTAAATTCAGCTGTTGAAAATCTCTCTGCTGTAGAACAACTTATTTTTTGCTGACCTTTAGCTTTTTTTTTTTTTTTTTTTTGAGGTTCTTATGCATGCTTGGGATTTTTACTCTCTGGGAATTGCTTAGCTAGCCCCTGTTATATTTTTCCTGGTCTCTGCACACTTTGCTGCTCAGCTCTTGCAGTTTCCAAGTAGCTGTGCTGTGTTGACCAGTTACAAACCTGCCTGTTACACGGGCTGTGAGCGAGCCTAACAGGCTGTGCAGAGAAATGGCATTTATACTGGACCAGTCGCAGGGGTTTGGATGTGACTGTGCAAAGCTTGTGAATAAACCTCCTGAATCTAGGAAGGAGGTGCAGCTCAGCATCTTGCTTGGCAGCCCAGTTTGGTATGGAAGCCATGACAGGCTAAAAGGGATAAAATGCAAAAAATACATCATGGTATCTTTTTTTCCCCTGTTGTTTCCTAAATGCAGATTGACCATTTTTCATGTTGTTGAAGGAGCTTTCGAGGTGCTGGGCAGTCTCACCTGCGCAGTCACCCACGCAGCACGAGCACTATCAAAGGGGAGGACGATCCCAGCCCCCTCCTGAAACCCTGATAAAATCCTGAGGTTGAAATGCCCTTTTGCCCACATTGGGGAATACTGAATGTAATGAATAAGCTTGTATGAAAGCATAAGCCCCGATAAACCTGGAAGGATTTGCTTTGCCAAACATGTTGCTGTAAAAAGCCCTTTTTTTCTGCTTGTCTGGAGAGGCAAAGGATTGTGATCTCCTGGAAAGGATGAAGTCCCTTGTGCTGGTGCTACTCTCATGGGAGGAGAGAAGAGATGCTCCATAACCCAAGGGGTTTCAAAGAGCATCTGGATGATGTGTACGTGGCTGGCACAGAGCCACCTGCCCTTCCTGCCCCTCACTTCTTCCCTGCTTACTTTCGCTTTTGAGTAGATGGGTGTTACTTGTCATTGCCTCTCCTGTCCCTTCCTGCTTGGTCATCGCATCAGGTCAGCCTGTTGGAGGGGGTCAAGAGTTGGGACCCCAGCCTGGGCATCACACGCATGTGTTGGAGAAGTGGGATTGTAGCAGAGAAATAAATTAATGAAGATTATTATTTCAAAAATAATAAGAATTAATAATAAGGGTTAATGTTTACCAAACAGTCCCTCCAAAACCTCTCCTTGTCCTTCTGTGGCACGCTGGTAACTGAGAGAGGCCAGAGCAAAGGAAGGGAGGCCAGATGAAATGAGATATTTTCCTAGTGATAGCATCCCTTCTCCTTCGCCCTTTCCCCGGGCAGGGTCTGTGTTTCCTGCATGGCTCTGCCTCA